TTTTCTGTAATACCCACCTTCCCATCTCCACAATGTGGCTTGTCTCCAGATTTAGTTGCATTCCTTCATACTTTGAAAGGTTCTTCAAAGCTGTACACACAAGTGGCCATCTCTAATATGTTCAGGAGATATTCTTTTACCTAAAGTAGGTTTATCCTCTGAGGATGGACAGTTTCCTCCATGTGAAGGGGCATGGGCCTCTGAGCTATCACTTCTCTGACAGATAGCCTATCTTCCTAGGGATTTTCCCACTCAGAAATTCTACCCAGGCCGCGGTTGATCTCCCTAGAATGGGTGGAGCATGTAGAAAAGCATAGCTCAGTAGTGTCCTTAAATTCCTAAATCGTATTTATACTTTATATCATGATTAAAATACAGCATCATCTACAGTGATCATTCAGGTAATATATGTTTCTGTCCTAAGATCTGTAGATGGAGCAGTAAGTTAGACTCATTCCCTGCTTTTGTGGAGCTGACAGTCTAATTGAGACAGACAGATAGGAGGGCCAGATACGAGGAATGGGGCCAGATATGAGGGGTGATGGCTCAGTTTTGTGGAATCAATGGAGGTTCCCTAGAGAAAGTGCCATCTACTTTGACTAGGAGTTGTGCAAGGGCTGGGATAAGGGGATAGTGTGAGGGTGGGGAAAAAAGCTTCCAGGTGAGAAGACAGCCTAAAGCAGAACAAAGGGAAGAGAGCACATGACTTATTTGAGAACTGGAAGTAGTTCAGTCTGCTGGAGGAGAGTTCAAGGTGAAGGCTGCAAGAGATGAGTCAGAGCTTATTAAAAAGCAGCCTAAGTGAAGAGTTATCTAATATGTATTGAGGAGTCACTGAAGAGAAGATGGATGGAGTGGGGGAAGGTGGCATGATCAGATTTGTGATTTTGAAAGATCTGTCTGTTGTAATGTGTGGGGGCTGGGAATTGAAGACTAGATACATAAGGGGCAGGATGGGATTGAATTATATCAATCAAGGAGAGAGATTATGGCAACCTGAATAAGTCTAATGCGACTCTGGCTATGTAGTTTTCACTAGACAAATAAAAATTATTTGATAGGTAGAGCCAGCACAGTTTAAATGGTGTTAAGGGAGAAGTATGGGTTGAGGAAAATTTTACATCTTACACTTAAATACACTATACACTATGGCATAGTATGGCACTAAGCCTGCCTCTTGAGATTAGAGAAAATCAGTCTGACTCCCATTCTCCCCACAACCTGCAGAATAATGTTTAATGGTATATCCTAAGTTTAAAGTCTATTTATGTCTCCAAAAATTTAGTGTAGTTTATGATTTTATTCTTTACTATCCTCATTCCGTATTTTTGGGCTAGATGTGAACTGTTCTTTTATGATTTCAAGAAAGAAAGAAAATAAAGAAAAAGAAAAGAAAGAAAGAAAGAAAAAGAAAAAGAAAGAAAGAAAGAAAGAAAGAAAGAAAGAAAGAAAGAAAGAAAGAAAGAAAGAAAGAAAGAAAGAAAGAAAGAAAGAAAGGAGAAAGAGAGAGAGAAAGGAAAGAAATTCAGCCAACTATATATAAACCACATATATGATGCTTTGTGTGTGTAGCAGACATTTTGAAGGGGATATCAAAAGAAGTTCACATTGTAGCATTGTAAGCAATTTACAATTTATTATTAGACATCCCTACTGTTAAAAATACATCCTTTAAATATTTCCCATGGTAAAAGCACTCTTCTCCATTTTTTAACTCTTCCACCTCTTGTTTCTCCCCACCAATCTTCTATTGTTTTATGCAGAAATATTCAACTCTATCCCTCTTTTTTTTTTTTTTTTTTTTTGATGGGAGTATTCTGTTTTGTTTTCCAGATATGGCTGTGGAACTTGTCTTTTCATGTCTGTATGCCTCATTAAGTCTTTCTCTAAACACTCCTTAAAAGAAATTTTGGTGCCAGTTTTTAAGATAAATACATGAATGTGCACATGTGCCCATAGATGCGCCTGCCTAAAGGTGTACCCACATAGGTATTCACTCATATGCACACATATATGCACTGACGCAGGCTGTTCCCTTAGGCACACATGTAAGTATACACACACATGCTTCTATGCATCACACTGTTACACAGATCACATATTCTTAATTGCTTAACATAATAATTATTTACAGGAGACTCTGAATCTTCTCATCCTCAGTCTTACCCTCACTCAACTAAAAAGTCAATCTAAACTGCTATGTTCTACTGAGTGTTCTGCCTAGATTATTATAATCTAAATCCAGGATAATATTTCACTTTATCACTCATAGTTCTCCATCTTCCAATCTGAATTGCAGATTCTTTGGCTCTTCCTTTATACATCTTTTCTATCTCTGGTAGTTTTTTCTTTATTTCTTTCAGGTTTTTGTTTTGTTTTGTTTTTCGTGCTGTCAGAAGATCACTCATTACTCCAAAGCCTTCCTAATTTCTGGGTGTTATTCTATTATGAAGATCTAAAAGATTAAAGACTGAAAGAGTCCAAATCTGAACATAGTATCTAATATAGCACTCCTGCCCTTCTCTGTTCTTTTAATGGGCTTAATTTTTCTTCATAGTCCTGACCATATAGTATGTATGTATATTTTTATCTATTCATTATTTCCTCTGACATGACACTATAACCCCTTGAAGGTAAGGGCTTATCTATCATGACCCCTACCATGTTCCTAGCAACTGGAAGAGTGACAAGTACTCAGTAGACACTGAATACATGTGTATTTAATGAATGGATTTAAATGTGATAAGTTGCAACTTGTGCAAGTGCCTAAACCACTCTTATTCCTGAAGGGATATTTTTAATATCTCTATTTTTGTATTAAAAACATGAAGACAAAGCAAACATCATATGTGTCCAGATTTTTCGTCAGTGAAGACTGGATGAAAGACTAAATAAGTGCAAAAGAGCGATGTTGGATATACACTAATTGCCGTCATGCTGACAGCTATGGTGGTGCAGCATCTTGCTAGCCGGTTTCCCAAAAGGCTTTATTTGCCAAATGCTGGGAGGGTGAAATATTTGCCCAGCAGAAAAAACAAACAAACAAACAAACAAACAAACAAAACCCCACAAAGCTTTAAATTTGAAGTATAGGTAAATTTTGCCAAGTTTTGTAGTCAAATATGTTTAAATTTTTAACTAAAAAATTGAGAATTCTTTTTTCAGTTTTCATCTTACCTTTAGTTGTTGTTGTTTTTCTTTCTAAATTGAGACATGGTCTCACTATGTTATACAGGCTGGTCTTCACCTTCTCATAACTTGTCCACAGACTGTTGTTTGTCCTTTGGTCCCATTCAGCAACCAAAGGGAATCATTTACAAAACACAATCTGGTCTTCCAGGCCTATTCATTTACAACCTCCCCCATTTCCCTCTCCCCAATGAGGGGAATATTTAAGTATCAACCATCTGGCTCTTTGAGTTTTCTTTCTTTTTTTCTGTTTCTTTCTTTTTTTTTTTTTTTTGGTATGGCTCCTATGCTTACGCACATTAGTAAATTTGTTAGCTTTTCTCTTGTAAACTTGTCTTTTGTTACAGGGATGTGGGCAATGAGCATTATGATGGGGAGGAAAGGGATCACCTCCTTCCTACCCCTAGACATACATGTTTTTGGTATAAACAATAACTAGTCCTCAAGTAAGAAGACTTTACGGTACCATTTGTCACACATAGTTTATCCCAGATTGACCTGGTAATTAGAGTGACTATCTGTAGTAGCTAATTGACTTTATCCAGGGGAAGAAAAAAACAAACTTTTCTTATCTTTTTGACAGGAGGTGGTTTTGCACTTAGAGCAAGGTGCCTAAGGAAGTTAGGCTCCCACCCTCTCATAGAAACTGGGAGATAACAGTGCTGTCTCCCTTGATGTTTACACTCAAAGAGTGGTCCTTGAGAAAGCCTTATCTAGGTCATAAAACTGACAACAAGCTTATCTAATTTTCAGAAGTATTTGTATACATTTCAAAGAGAGGAGAAAGTACTGACATTATAATTACAAATTCTGTAAAGTAAATGTGCTGAGAAAATGGAGGGGAAGGATGTCCTTCCCTTCTATGCAACAGGCGGAATTAAGCCCCTATTTAAAATTTGTACTTGTTGGCCAGTTGGCCAGGTGCGGTGGCTCACACCTGTAATCCCAGCACTTTGGGAGGCCCAGGTGAGCAGATCATGAGGTCAGGAGTTTGAGACCAGCCTGACCAACATGGTGAAACCCTGTCTCTGCTAAAAATACAAAATAAATAAATAAATAAATAAATAAATAAATATCAGCTGGGCGTGGTGGCGGGTGCCTGTAATCTCAGCTACTCTGGAGGCTGAGGCAGGAGAATTGCTTGAACCCTGGAGTCGGAGGCTGCAGTGAGCAGAGATCGTGCCACTGCACTCCAACCTGGGCGACAGTGCAAGACTCCGTCTCAAAAAAAAAAAAATTGTATTTGGTATTTATCCTTGCACTGGTTATGTTTATTAGAGAAGCTTAGAAATTAAAATAATAATTTTATAAGTTTAGATTAAGATTTTTTGAGAGGAATTTTGTGGCTGAAGTTTTGATGTTCTAATTAGGTTGAAATTAGATTTTATAGTTAGGAAATGTCTGTCATCAAAAGTCCAGCTGAAAGAGTATGAGATATCTTCACAGTTCTTTAATTTGTGGTATATCATTCTGTGGGCCAATAGCTCTATTTAGGGATGTCATAATTTCAATTAATTTATTTTTTCTTTTTTCCTCTCATTCTCATTAAAAAAACTGAGTTTATTATATTGCTGGCTTTTTTTATTCACATGGATTGTTAAATAGAAGACTGTTCTGAGATTGACAGAGATATTAGTTTCTTTATCTGTATAGTTTCTCCAAATACATATAAGCATTCTCCAAGTATAGTTTTTTACCATTATTAAAGTATATCATGTCACATTAATCAAAATCAATTATTTTAAATTAATGTTAGTTATATTTTATTTCTTATATACTTTCTAGCTTCATTCATCTGTTCATTTCTTTAGGGTGCAGCCTTGACATTTTTGAGTTCTGATCATGCCAGCCTTCCAGAAAGCATCAAAGAAAACACATTTCTTAAACTCCGAATCACACATATCGATCAAATAGCTTTGAATTCTCTCAAGTAAGTTAAATATGTATTTGGCATTTTGAAGCAGGTGAAAACACTATTTTTAAATTATCTTAAAATGACATTCTACTGCAAGGTATTTATAACTTCGTTAAGGTTTATATTTTTAAAAAACAAGCACAGCTACATGTGTCTATTTTATGTACTATCTTGTACTCAAATACACTTCATGTGTGGGAAGAGTTATAATCAATCAAATATTTTTAAATATTCATTTTTATGTTAAAGATATCTTATTAAGTTGCCTTTGCTATAACACTTTTATTTTTATCAAATATTACCAAAAGGAATAAATTTTTAAAAAAAGGGTATCAATACAATATTGTAACAATTTTTTTCACATTGTTATTATGATGACTTTTTTAGTATCTAAAAAAGTCTCAGGGTCCCATATGCTTACAGTATTCATTGATTGATAAAGTACGCAGTGAAAAATTAGTTCTATACATCAAACATTGCTTTTAAAATGATTTTTTAAGTAACAGGAATATATACATGTGATTTTAAAAACATATATAATTCCCGTGATTTTATATATGTATGTTAGAGGCTATATCCTACAAAGTGGCTGTAAGAAGTCTGTGTTCATCATTTACTATATTGCTAAAAATGAACGCATTTGAGGGGGCTTTTAAAAATAACATTTTTTCATCTTACGCTTTGCTAGGTAAAATTCCTTTTAAATTTAATAGTTTTAATTAAATATTTAAAACATAAAAATTGTTACAAAAATGAATGTTGGCTAGGTGCAGTGGCTCACTGCTGTAATCCCAGCACTTTGGGAGGCCAAGGTGGGCGGATCATAAGGTCAAGAGTTCGAGACCAGCCTGGCCAATATGGTGAAACCCTGTCTCTACTAAAAAATAAAAAAATCAGCCAGGCATGGTGACAGGCGCCTGTAGTCCCAGCTACTCAGAAGGCTAAGGTGGGAGACTCTCTTGAACTTGGGAGGCGGAGGTTGCAGTGAGCCCAGATTGCGCCACTGCACTCCAGCCTGGGTGACAGAGCGAGACTCCGTCTCAAAAAACAAACAAACAAAACAAAGACCAAGAATGTTTACAAGTAGTCCTTATAAGATTTTAAGGATTTTAGCTCTCAATTTAATCTTCTTGGACATCAAAGCAGAAGGCAGAGTTGGGACTTGATTAAATTCTAAGCACTCTTCCAAGTGTGAGAGTTTCTTTGAGTCTGGAGCAGGGAAGAGCTTAGAGTTTTATACTCAAGATTATAAAATAGAAAATATATATATATATAAAATATATATATATATATATATTTCATCCCTGTGAACATGTCTATTGCAGAACTGCTTCTATGGACCAGGAGGATGATATAGTCATTCAAGAAACCAATGATAGGCTGGTCTTCAAGGCAATTCAAGGTATATGTTATTACTATACTCTCAAGTACTTTGAATTTTCGACCCCTTTTTTTTTTTTATAATCAGTAAAACAACATTTTTCCAGATATTTCTCAGTGGCACTTGATTTATATTTACCCTTTGCTTATTTAAAAAAGTATACATACATACTTTTATTGTTTAGGATTTCTAAACGTTTTAAGTTTTTCTTACTTTAATGGTCCTAACTAGTATTATATGAATTATAAAATTAAGTGTTTTAGAAATTACTAGATAATATGGGTTTTACTCATAAGCTGAATGAAATGTAAAAGTAATTTTTGTAATATAATACTTGTCTTATGTATTACATAATATCTTGAAGAAGTTTGTGATGTCCTAGCGTAAAAGAAAAAAAATGCAAGATTGGGAGCCAGATTCATGTTTGGACTCTGTTGTTCAAGACACACATGACTTTGGAGAAATCCCTTGCATCTCTTTCCTCATCTCTAAAACAGGGATTATAATACTTCTCTTATTAAATTTCCAGGGTTGTTGTGGGTAATAAATTAGATATATTTCAGTTTTGGATACTAAAACATTTTCCAAATTTTGGAAGATGCAGTATAGTAGACTCGATTAGACAGTTACTCTGTTGGATCTCATAGTCTAAAATGGAGTAAGGTATTAAAGAAGCAATCACAGAAGTTAACATGTAATTTATGAACTTTTTTTTTTTTGAGAGAGAGCCTTGCACCTTTGCCCGGGCTGGAGTGCAGTGGCACAATCACAGCTTACCTCAGATTCCTGGTTTCAAGTGACCCTCCTTGCCTCAGCTTCCTGAGTAGCCAGGACTACAGGTGCATGCCATCACACCCGGCTAAATTTTTTTTTTTTTTTCTCTCTGTTTTTGTAGAGACAGGGTCTTGCTATGCTCTCCAGCGTAGTCTGGAACTTCTGGGCTCAAGTGATCCTCCCATCTCAGCCTCACAAAGTGCTGGGATTATAGTCATGAGCCATCACACTTGATCTAATGTATGAATTTTCATGACTCCTGATTTATCTTTTAAAGATAAGGCGCTCACAGTAAGAAGGCAAGAAACAGATTTGAAAAGTTTTGTTTGGACTCTCAAATGTTCTTGATGCCAAAGTTTGTAAACAGTTTTCTCTATTATATCATAGTCAATACAGTATTTGTCACAATTGAACTTAGTGACATTTGTTTTTTTCTCTCATGTATTATATCTAATAACTGCTTTAGTAAAGTTACCAATCTGTTCTTAAGTAAATATGGTACAAAGCGCAGTAAGTGAAATAACAGCTACAAAGAGAATGACAGGGATCTAAGCAAATAACCTCTTATGAAATATGTAAGTGTAGGATAGAATTCAAAAGGCTTGATGCTATTTTATATACAAGTTACAATTTGAAGATTTCAAACTATTTTTAAAATGTTGAACTGAATTTGTGAATTACTTGACTGTCATCAATTTTGCAATTCAGTTGATAAAAACTAAGAAAAGGAAAACAGATTAAAGATACGGGGGTGGTTAAAGAGGTTGTCTACGCAACAAAATCTAAGATTTTATTTGTAATATTTAGGTTATTCTCTTGGTGATAAAGTGAAACTGTATTTTTCTGTTTTAAAAATATAACACTTCCACCACACAGTGGTGCTATTGTTCTGGCATATTTACATGTGATTTTATAGCTAATCCTCTTGATTAAAAACATCCTATTTTCCAAAGTCTTTTGTCTTACATTTGATTTGTTTGAATATTCACGAATTCCTGATTTCAGTTACATCAACTTTAATTTTCTTATGAAAGATAACTGCGGCTTTATACATTTATGCATAGGAACAATTTGTTTTCATTTCTCTTGTTGAACAGATGTGCTAAAAGAAAAACTACATAAAAGAGGTGTTCGTATTTTGACTGGATTGGGAAAATACTTTCAACAGTTGGACAAGGAAGGAAATGGACTTTTAGATAAGGCAGATTTTAAGCAAGCTCTAAAAGTGTTTCACTTAGAAGTGTCTGAAAAGGTATGTGCCACAGAAAATTCTCTGCAGCAGATAATATGTTATTCTTAGGTGGAATTATTCACTGTTCTACTGAAATTTTAGTTTTCATTTATTTTCTCCTTCTCTATGCCCTGTTATCAGTGTTAAGCTATCAGGTGACAAGCCCTGTTGGTTTTTAAAGTTTAAATATTGTTCCATCCTATATTTATAAAGAGCTTAATAACCAGGCATTGTGCTAAGCTCTGAGATAATAACTCTGTACTCTTGAGATCACTGTAATTGAAGGAAAATGAACATGAAACAAAATGTGTGTTCGATGGAGAATGTTTTTGGAACACATGGGATAGATACCTGATTCCAAGACAGGTTCTAGGGAAGGAGAGCAAAGATCATGGAAGGATGCCTGGAGGAAGATACATCTAAGCTGAGTTTTGAAGGTTGAGGAAGAATTAACCAGACAAAGGCGAAAGAGGAGTGTGAATCAGACAATGTGTATTTTATGAAAAGGAGACACTTATGTGAAAGCTTGGAGGGGAAGGGAGTGTGGCCTGTTTCTGACACTGCAAATGATTAATAATCTTCACACATACTGTTCCCTCCACTGTGAATAATCTACTAGATCTTTGCTTGCTGGGTTTTCTTAGCATTCAGGCCACAGCTTTCTCTGTCAAGAGCATTACCCTGACACTTCTGTCTAAAGCAGCACTCCCATTTGATCTTTGGTCCTTTCGACACCAATTTCTCGTTTTATTATCATTTTTTTTTCATGCCACTTTGTAAGTATTTTCTGGCTCTGCCTGTAAGTAAATCATTAAGTCTCATCAGGGTGGGGACCAGAGTGTTTTTGTGTTCCTGCTCTTTTTCTAACATCTGAAATAGAACCCAGCATATGGAAAGTTAAGCAGATAATGCATTAGTTTGAATGGATAAATTTATGGAAGGAAGGAAAAGAGAAGAATGGAGAGAAACGTCTGGTACATTAAAGTCTTGCACGTCATACTAAGAAGATTGGATTTTATTCTAAAAGCATATGAATCACATTTGTCTCAAGGATTTCAGATAAAGGATCTCTTGCGCTGTTCTCTTTTGCTTCAAATGATCTTGTCACAAGATGTGTATTTTGTAGAAAGAACACTGTAAATTGAACTTAGGACACTTAGGTTCAAGTTCTGGCTTTACTATTTGAACTGTATGATCTTGGACCAGTCTTTTAACTTTTTTGATTCGGGGGCTCTGCCTGAGCAATCCAGAGGTAATTGTTATTGTTAGAGTTGCTTGGAAGCTCAAATGAGAAAATTACATGGGAATCTGCCATATCAGCTGTACAATTCTGTGCTAATATCATGTTGCCTAACATTGTTCTGACATACCCATCTTTTTGGTTTTTATGATGTTTAACGTCTTTTGCCCACCTAGTGATACATACTAGGGATCATCTAACTTCCCCTCTTCCTTTTGTAGATTAAAACAACAACAACAACAACAACAACAATAATAAAGCAGCAATAGGAAATTAGAAAACCTTAATGTCTTTGCTTACAATCACATGAGTGAGAATGGAAGAATCACACAAACTGTTTCCTCTGCTTTCACACAGCAATAATCAACACAGAATACTTCTGCAACCAAATGCATGTGGGGGTTCCACCCATACTAAGCAGTTGAAACCCAGTGGACAACCTCTAATTCAATTCAATTCTGACATTATCTACCTAGAGATTGACTCCGATCCCACAGGGTGAGATCTTAGTTCTACAAGACAACCCCTGCCCCCAACACACTCTGCATAGGGCACCAGTCACAGGTTTGGGTCCCTGGAACTTGTGGTCAACTAATTTCAAGTTTGGGGTTTCCACGACCCGCTCCTTGGGTTCAATTAATTTGCTGGAGCAGCTCACAAAACTCAGGAAAACTTATATTTACCCGTTTATTCTCATGGATATTACAAAGGATACAGATGAAGAGATGAATAGGGCAAGGTATGGGGGAAGGAGTGCAGAGCTTTCATACCCTCCCTGGGTGCCACCCTCCAGGAACCTCCACAACCTTAGCTACCCAGAAACTCCCTGAACCCTGTTCTCTTGACTTTTCTATGGAGACTACATTGGATAGACATGACTGATACATGGACAACTGTGTCGAAATGTGATTGGACAAAAGTGTATGACCTAATACTGATAGACTGAAGAAGGAAACCCAGTAAGGAATGCCTGTTCAGACTCTTCTTGGCCTCTGTGCAGCATTCCTTCCTCCATGGTGGAGGCAGGACCCCTTCTGAAATGGGGGTCTTATGGCCTACAATTAGACAAGGTAGATCAGAGAATTTTTTATGGCCAGCTCCAACACAGAAAGGCAGGAGATGATTCCTGCCTTGAAGAGGGAAAAGAGCAGGTGAAAGAAGGGCAGGAGAAGGTCAGAGAGGAAAAGAGAGAGATTCCATTTTCTGAGGCCTAAAGTGCCCTAATATTATAATAAAAGATTGTAACAAGAACAAGGAAGGGCAATGGGAATTATAAACTGGGCCTATGGATGAAATCATATATATAATATATATGTGTATATATGTGTGTGTGTGTGCTTGCGTGTGTGTATATGTGCTTGTGTGTGTATGTGTTTATAAAATCACAAGTAATTAATAGCCGATGTAGGACTAGAACCCAGTTAATATGTTCCCGTCTAGTACTTTTTCTGTATCATAACAGTACTTCCCTTTTTGATTACTTTACTACATTGTTATGATTAGGTCTAGGAACAAAAACTATAGTAATTATATAAGACTTCTAACATAGAGGGAACATATTATGAAAATATGAGCACGCGTCCTCCTTTTCTCATATATTTTAATAATATTTTATATTTTTTTTCTGTAATATCACTGTAAACTGCTCATGCAATGATAAGCACATACAAACAGCTCGAGAAGAAGAACTTAGGAATCACTAACCTAGGTCTAATTTTGAAACTAGAGAATGTTTGTGGGAAGGCATAGTCAGCCATTCTCCCTGATTTGAGATTAAAAAAAATTGACATGTACCCTAAAAAGCCTAATTTATATAGAGATACTATCAGTGATTTCCTTCAGCTTTTTTTCAATGTAATTATTTTCCATTGTGTACCATATCTTTGAAAGAAAGAGTATATATATGTATATCTCTTAAGTATATATAAATATAAATATGTATTTCTTGTTGACGATTATGTTAAATTACTCAATTCTTGAAAATTATTTCTTTTAAGCTTTAAGAAGTATCTTTCAATTCTAGTAATCCATGAATTGGATGAGCAAATTGGTCTTCTCCTGTGCATATTACTCTTGATTTTAAAGGTCAAGCTCATGTTCAGTTTAAATGCACTGATGCTTAAAGTCTGCATAATGTGCAGTACATTATGATAGACAAAGATGTATGGGGTTGTCGAGAACTGAGGGAAGGCAGGCATCTTTAGATTGTTTTTCTAGTTAAAGTTTTCTTTGAAAACAAAAGGAGGGAGTGGAAAATGATATTTTTTGAGTACCTATTATTTGCTAAGCACCTTGTTAGGTATTTTATCTACATTCACATTTAAAGGTAACAACTTGATTAAAACATTGAAAAAATATATTTACTTGGGTTTGAGAAAATGATGCTGTAATTTCTTTGTTGTCAAGGAAAACTGTGTTAGAACTTTCTATTAAGTAGTGCATTTGCTGAAGAAGTAAATGGTAATGTAATGGTAAAGTGAATAAACTGGCATAAGGAACTTATTCAAAATTATACCTTTCAGTGTAAATTATAGAATGATATTAGAGTCATTCAAATCTATATTTTCAAGCATGAAGACTAGCAGAAATATAATTAGTGGTTATAATGCCATTGGAAGCACTCCAGGACCGAATGTGACTTTTGAATTAACACAGATATAATACATTAAAAGTATTTAAATGTTTAAAATTGAGTAAATGGTAACCGCACATACACAGACACACGCAGATATCTATATATCTCTATGTAGATAGATGTATAGATATAGAAATAAAGTTGAAAAGATAAATTGGTTTCCAGAGCATGGGGAAGGGGGTTGGTATACAAGGAAAATAGAAAATTGGTCAAAAGGTACAAGTTTTCATTACACAGTGGATTAAGTTCTGGGTGATCTATTGCACAGCATGGTAACTATAGTTTATAATAATGTATACTTCAAAATACCTAAAAGGGAGGATTTTAAATGTTCTTATCACAAAGAAATGATAAATATTTAAGATGATAGATATGACTGTATTATTCTACAATATACACATGTATTGAAATACATGTATTGAAATATCATATTGTACCCTGTAACTATATACAATTATTATTTGTCCATCAAAAATAAAACTTAAAAAAGATAAATCTGTGAGCTATTGCCACTCCTAAATGGCTCCTAACTTTACAGAACCGTTCACCATAGGTTCCTATAAATCACTTTTTTAGTGGCTTTGATTGGATTTTTATGTAACTTCCTCAATTTTCTTATTAAATGAGTTATCATATCTAGGACTACAGAAGATGTAACAAAATACAACTAAGATGATTTTGTTGTGACAATATATAACTTAAAATTGCAACAGTTATCTCTGATTATTTCTAGGATTTTGAGTCTGCATGGCTAATTCTGGATGACAATGGCAATGGTAAGGTTGATTACGGAGAATTCAAACGTGGTATTATTGGTGAAATGAATGAATATAGGAAATCATATGTTCGAAAGGTAACTTTGTTAAGTAATCTTTCAAATTGTTATTTTTAATAGACTGTTAGGTTCAGTATTTTAAAAGTTTAATGAATTACCATTTAAAATGTTTTAAATCTATTTACTTGTAACATATGTTGGGTTTAGTAAAACAGAAAACAGGTCCGTATGCATACAAATCGACCCAGAATGAAGCAAAATAACTTGTGTATATATTTTAGAGAAATGCTATGAGGGGAAAATAAAGTTTGAAATCAAATTTTGGTTAACAAATTACTAGCTCCATAAGTTGTTGCCTCCATAAATTACTAGCTATGTGAATATATGTATTATAAAATATTCCTAAGCCTCAGTTTCCTTTCTCATAGAATTGGTGTAAAGATGGAATAAGATAATGCATATACAATTCTTAGCATTGTGGCTGTTCCAGTGTCAATACTCCAGACATTTTGTTTTAGGATGATGACTAAAAAATGTTTCTCTGGTGTTTAGAATATGCATGATAAATATTAACTTGTAAATTAAAATAATCATGTTAAATTGGAATTAAAAACAGGAGTACTGACTTTAATAGGAAGCTATGTATTACTTGAGTTTTGGTAGCCATTTTTTGGATCATACTTTTGAGCAACATAGTTAGCTTTTTTTTCTTTTGTATATGTACTTAATATTGAAACAAAGCTATTCTATATAATGTAAATAATTATATAAATCTCAAATACAGAAATTAGTCTCTACTGGGCAAGAGACACAGTAAAAACCTTAAATTAGACAAATTCACCACATAATATTTATGAATGTGTACTTATTCATGCTTTCCATGTCCTTCCTGGTGATAGGTTTGAGAATCTGGAATCGAAATTGGAGACTTGTGTGTTTCATAAATCTTGGTAATGGGAACAGAGGGCAAGAGAAGTGTTATGCAGTTCTGTATTAGTTTGCTTGGGCTGCCATAACAAAATACTACAGACTAGGTGACTGAAATAACAGAAATTTATTGTCTCATAGCTCTGGAGGTTAGAAGTTCCAAACAAGGTGTCAGCAGGTTTGGTTTCTTCTGAGGCCTCTCTCCTTGGCTTGCAGATGGCTGCCTGTTCTCTGTGTCCTCACATGGTCTTCCCTTTGTCTGTATTGTGTCCTACTGTCTTTTATTTATTTATTTTTTTGAGATGGAGTCTTGCTCTGTGGCCCAGGCTGGAAGGCAGTGGTGTGATCTTGGTTCACTGCAACCTCCCCCTTCTGGGTTCAAGCGATTCTCCTGTCTCAGCCTCCCAAGTAGCTGGGATTACAGGCATGTGCCACCATGCTTGGCTACTTTTGGTATTTTTAATAGAGACAGGGTTTCGCCATGTTGGCCAAGCTGGTCTTGAACTCCTGACCTCAGGTGATCCACCCACCTCAGCCTCCCAAAGTGCTGGGATTACAGGCGTGAGCCACCGTGCCTGGCCCTACTGCCTTCTTATAAGGAGACACCAGTCATATTGGATAAGGGGCCACCCTAATGATTTCATTTTAACTTAATTATCCCTTCAAAGGCCCTACCTTGAAATACAGTCATATTCTGAGCTGCTGGGATTAGGTTCAACATATGAATTTTGGAGGAACACAAGTCAGTCTACAATAGCTTCCATATTTCTGTGAATGCAATATTGTAAATAACCAGACTTGATTCTAGTTTTGACCCCACTGCAAATATAGAATGTTGCTTTGGGTAGCTTGTGTCTTTCTAAGTAGTGAATACTCTTCCAATGAAATATTTCATGATATCTTATGATACTCAGAGCTACACTGAATTAGAGGAACAATAACACAACTACATTTTAAAAAGTGTATTAAATTTCAAGAAATAGAGTAACATAACTCATTTAAAAAGTATTTCACTTTTTCATTGATTTTAGGGAGGAAATATTTGCAAATTCACTTCTTTAGTTAAAATATTCGTCTTGGCAATCTCTTTTGGCCATTTATACAAATCCTAGAGCTGGAAGTTACCTGAGAGGTCTTTTACCCATCTCTTCAGTTTTCAGGAGAGAGAGGCCATGGAAATAGAGGTCAGGTTACTTTCTCAAGGTCAGGATGCTAGAAAGTGGTAGAACTTTCTAATTGAGTACAGATTTCCTAGTATCTTGCTTCACTATCTTTTTCTCCTGTATTTATAACGGTTCTTTCATATATCAGTATAGTACTTTTAAAATGCTGTGTTTATAGCTCAGAAATAACCTACTATAAAATAGAAAATTAGATTCCTATGTCTAATAATTTTACTTAAAAAATAACATTTGTCAGGCTGGGCATGGTGGCTCACGCCTGTAATCCCAGCACTTTGGGAGGCCAAGGCGGGTGGATCACCTGAGGTCAGGAATTCGAGATCAGCCTGACTAACATGGCGAAACCCGGTCCCTATTAAAATACCAGAAATAGCTGGGCCTGGTGGCAGGCACCCGTGGTCCCAGTTACTCACTTGGTAGGCTGAGGGAGGAGAATTGCTTGAACCTGGGAGGAGATTGCACTGAGCTGAGATCACATCTTGCACTCCAGCCTGGGTGACAGAGCGAGACTCTGTCTCAAAACCAACCAACCAACCAACAAACTAATAATAATAACATTTGTCTATTAGGCCTTTATGAAACTGGATTTCAACAAAACTGGCAGTGTGCCTATTATAAACATAAGAAAATGTTACTGTGCAAAGAAGCATTCTCAAGTACTTTCAGGTAATTATTCGGAGTTAAAATGCATTGGACTTTGAAAATGTTTTAAAGATAATATCTTTATATTAATTTAAACCTTAGATTGAGGCATTGGGGGGGAAATAAACTATTTTTTTGAACCAGAAACTTAAGAACTATTTGCCTTTCTTCATTTAATAGTTCTTAGGTCTATTGCCTGTACTCGTTTGTTTGTTTGATATTTATTATCAATATAGAACTCATTTCCTATTTAGGAGATAGTAAGGGATTTAAGTTAAAAAGAATAATATAGCTTTAGAAAATAGATAAATACATATGCAGGTTCTCAGAGTTATTTCTACTATATCTTCTTATATAGTTATCCATACTTAAGGATTTAAGCAAAATGAAGGAGTGTCTTTCTTTAGGGATGGAGCTATACATAGAATGAATGTACATATATCTATCAAAATTTGAGGATATTGTAAATTCCATAAAGTAACTCTAGAGATTCATATCCTACTGTATTTTTTCTAACTTTTTTACATAATTGTTTTGTAAGTACATCCTTTTTATAAAGAAAGCATTTGACCACAACTCTCCTCTTTACATTTCCTTCCATAGAAGTCAAAATTATCATTTAGCATATATATTCCAGCTAATACATTATGAATTTTACTTATTCTATGAATTTTCATGGCTATGTGCATACTATAAATATTTAATACTTTTTGAAGTTTTTTTTGACATGAAAGGTACACTGAAGATAATGTTATATAATTTGCTTTTTACACTCACCAGTATGTTTTGGATTTCTTTATATATTAATCTACATTGAGCCTCGTTAGTTTTTATCTTGCAGTATATTATTCTTTTTATAAATCAATATACTATCATTTACCTAGCCATTGTTTTATTGTTAGATTTTAAGTTCTAATTATTGATCAACAACTAATGAAGCAATAAATGCGCTTATTTGTGACTCTTCAGGCCTGTTTTCTACTGCTTCCCTGGAGTGATATTAATACCTAGAATTACTGGGATGTCTGCATTTAAAATTTTAAGTGATACTTCCAAATGACATTGTAAAATGACTATACTAGATTATATAGCCATTTGTTGAAGAGTTCTTTTCCTCCACAACTTTGCCAAAAACTTTCACTTTGCCAATCTGATAGGTTAAAAAAAAAAACATTTTACTTGGAGTTCCTTCATTACTAGGGAGGTTAAACATATATTTGTACGTTTATTGATTGTCCATCTTTAAGGCATATTTATTAACCCTATTTTATAATAATTTCTTTTCAATTTACAACTTTAATTCTGTACTGCTAAATACTGTAGAATACTATTATTTTTAGAATTTTATTCCTTACTATTAAAAGAGAAACACTGTAATTACTTTGGTTTCTTATCATCATTAACTCTTATATATGGTTAATTTGTCACTTTTAATTATGAAATGAAAAACGTGAGATTTGGTTATGAAGATTAAAGCTAATCATCACTGGATTCCAAATTTCTAATTACCTATTTCTGGTCGAAATAGTTTAATTTGCTTATTCATGACATTAAATAAATTACAGCTACTCTAAGAGAATTTCTAGTGTGTATTTAATTGGTGCTAGTGTATTTTTTTCCTTTAAACACATGTCATTGTCTGTTTCTTTCTCTTAGTCATACTAAATATAAGAACGAAATAGTTTAACACCATGTATTTTTTCTCTTTCTCTTTTCTCATCTAATAATATTAATTAGGTTGCTAAAATAGCTTCAGGTTTATTACGTTTCATGGAATTTTTGATGAGGGTTTTATTTTTGTTGTTGTTGGGAAAGCCTTTCTTGGTTTCAGAAATTCCATAATTTGTCTTTGCGTTCACATTAAGAATGACAATAGGTAAGCTAAATATTCCTAAATAGAAGAAAACTTGTCACTGTATTTCAAAGAAGAAAAAAAGTACCCCTATTATTATTTATTATTGCAAATTATAATCTATTCATATGCCCACCTCTGGGATATAGTTTGTTCACAATTTACAATTAATTTCAAGGTAAGGCTCTTATACCACGTACAATTTAATTTTAACTATAGAAAATATTCCTTCTTAAATTTGCTTAAGTAATATATTAGAAAAAAGTATTTTAAGGTTTAATATAAATGGAATATCCCAAATATATTTCTATGTAATAGTTTTAGAAATATAACATTTGTTGCTGTAAATATTTTCTAGTCTCTGAGAGGACTGAAAAAAATTCAGTAATAGATGATAGGAGGTAGATATTTCCTGGGTGAGGGATATAAAGGAGGTATGAAATTCTTCACTATTTGAAATATAAATCAGAGTGAAAAATGTTTTCTCAGATAAAAACTGTGTTAAAACTCCTCTGTTCAAAAGTATGGATGGTAAACAAAGGGAAATTTCTACCAAAATTTGTTTTTATATAGATGGGATCTTGATTAATTTTTAACCTTGACTAACATTCAATTAAAACTTCATTTTATTATTTTATATTACCATCTCTATGTAGCATCATTATTCAGTCTTTTTACATTCAACTTGTATTTTATAGAATAATCACTTTTTCTCTATTTCTTGTATATGTTTTTAAAAGAAAGCAAACTTCTTAATATTCAAAGCAGATTTCATTCCTTTAGTTTGGAAGACACTTTGCAATGCATTATTGTCTGTGTCCATTAAAGAACCTCTGGTTTGAGGGAAAAAAATTAACTCTCACCTTAATTTTGTCCACCCCATTAGACAAACGGTTTGAGTGGTATTCCCATCTAAGCCTGTTATTTAAAACATAACCTGACTTTAAAACGTTTTAGATTCCAAGTCTTTGCTATTGTGAATAGTGCTGCAATAAACATATGTGTGCATGTGTCTTTATAGCAGCATGATTTATAATCCTTTGGGTATATACCCAGTAATGAGATAGCTGGGTCAAATGGTATTTCTAGATCCTTGAGGAATCGCCACACTGTGTTCCACAATGGTTGAGCTAGTTTACAGTCCCACCAACAGTGTAAAAGTGTTCCTATTTCTCCACATCCTCTCCAGCACCTGTTGTCTCCTGACTTTTTAATTCTCATTGTGGTTTTGATTTGCATTTCTCTGATGGCGAGTGATGAACCCAAATGTCCATCAATGACAGACTGGATTAAGAAAATGTGGCACATATACACCATGGAATACTATGCAGCCATAAAAAAGGATGAGTCCGTGTCCTTTGTAGGGACATGGATGCAGCTGGAAACCATCATTCTCAGCAAACTATTGCAAGAACAGAAAACCAAACACCACATGTTCTCACTCATAGGTGGGAATTGAACAATGAGAACACTTGGACACAGGAAGGGGAACATCACACACCTGGGCCTATTGTGGGGAGGGAGGAGCGGGGAGAAGGGAAGGATAGCATTAGGAAATATACCTAATTTAAATGACGTGTTAATGGGTGCGGCACACCAACATGGCAGATGTATACATATGTAACAAACCTGCACATTGTGCACATGTACCCTAGAACTTAAAGTATAATAAAAAACAACAACGACAAAACGTTTTAGAGGGTCGCATAGAAGTTTTTTGACCCCTTTTCTGCTATTGTATATGGGCCTCTGTTTATTCTCTTTTCAGTGTTATCTGACCAGTCACTATAGCTTCCTTTCATCTTTCAATTCCTCTGTTCTTTTTAAAATTTTATGATAAAAAAAAATTGTGTTCTATGCTAGGATCCTGGAGATAGATCAGTGCAGGAGAGCAGGGGACAGGGAAGGAGTGGCAAATTGAATGAGATGAAATAATTCCAGTTCATGTGTAAATAAATTGGCTGGCAGTTTGACAAAAGATTTCAAATTGTTGCATGTATTTTGTAAGATGATTAAGTATTCCTTTATCATCAGTCATTTCACTGAACTTTTCAGGAAACTGTTTCATACTCAGTACTATTTTACAGGCCATTCAACAGAGGAAGAAATTAAATCATCCTTTCTAGAAACATTAAAAGTTGCCTGCAGCAAGTCTGACGAAGTTTCATATGGTGAATTTGAAGATTACTATGAAGGTTTAAGTATAGAAATAATAGATGATCAAGATTTTGTTACCATCTTGCGTACTCCATGGGGGATTTAGTCTTTAATAATACATATGTCATCAGCACTAAGCATTTTATTGGAGAGATGATTTCAATGTAAAGGATGATCAAACACTGGAATATATTTTCCTAGGACTTCCTTTATTCTGTTTTTTTTTTTTGTTTTTTTTGTTTCTTTGTTTGTTTGTTTGTTTTTCATTGAGTCTGGAAAGAACTATCCAGAAAGATGTAGGGGCATGTGAGTGTGCACGTGTATGCCTGCTCACATGTCCATACATTTGTAAAAGTGTCTTTTTGGTTTATTACTTATCTTGCATATATTTTAGAGGTCATTTTTTATTAACTTCAATAGGAAAGTTACATCTACATCAAACAATATGGCAGCATGTATTTATTAACCAAGTTTCCTGTCCTTTCACATTGTTTTTAAGCTATCTCTTCCTCAGAATATATTTGCCATCATTGTCAATTTGATAAATTAGAATTGGGCCTAAAGCCAGTGAAATAATTCAATGTGTTTTTAACATATGAAAATATTAAAGGATATGCAAGAGAAATGTTTCAAGCAGTGTGATTATAGATGTTTTCTGTATATAGAATATTTAGAATGATGGAGGTTTACCCCTATGATGCTCATTTAAATACTGACTTGTCTTGTAAATCTTTGTCTTCTAAATTATGTACTGTTGTTGGTTAAATAGAGCACAATGTAGTTATTCTAATGACCAGTTGTATTTGTTCTTTTATTCTGTTTTTTAACAGCATCCTTTTTACCAGCATACAATTGTTATTTAGCTAGAAACAATACAATATGAAAGGGAAATGTTCTTTATTAAGATCAATACATTATCTTATTAAACAAAGATCCTAAAAGTGTATTGTTGCAAATATGAATCTAAGGAATAGTTCAGTAATTATTGCCTAAAATGTGAAAGCATATTTTGTATCCTAAAATGAATGTATGATGTTCTAAACATCTCTTTTTGTATAACAAACAATTGAAACATTTCCTTCTAAATATGTGTTATTTAATAGTTACATGTGTTGTAGTCATTCTTTCTAAATTCTTTGCTAGTCATTTCTTCCTGGGAATGCAGAGAAAAGAGACAACTTTATGAGTTGTTTCCAACTTCATAATTTTAAATTTTCTATGTTAATGTAACATAAATTAGAAAAAATAAGTGATTCAAAAATGAAAATATTTACTTTGTAGAATATGACTTTAGACATCACTGTATCCATCTATACTTGGCAGCAACATGAGAAGTGTGATACATGTGAACCCAACAAATTCAAAGTTGCGCTTTTCAAGATTTGAGAAAGTACTAAAACTTAGTACTGAGACATGAGAGGGAAAATATGTGTAAACCTCTTAGTGCTATTTTCACTGGCTAAATTCTTTATTTCTTGACTTTTTAAAAAATTCGGTTATTGGCCGGGCACGGTGGCTCAAGCCTGTAATCCCAGCACTCTGGGAGGCCGAGACGGGCGGATCACGAGGTCAGGAGATCGAGACCATCCTGGCTAACGCGGTGAAACCCCGTCTCTACTAAAAAATAGAAAAAACTAGCCGGGCGAGGTGGCGGGCGCCTGTGGTCCCAGCTACTCGGGAGGCTGAGGCAGGAGAATGGCGTAAACCTGGGAGGCGGAGCTTGCGGTGAGCTGAGATCCAGCCACTGCACTCCAGCCTGGGCGACAGAGCGAGACTCCGTCTCAAAAAAAAAAAAAATTCGGTTGTTAAAATTAAAACAATATGCTAGAAGACATTTTGGCAGAAATAAGTCTATAACACTATTTTTGTCACATATCTTTTTCTTGGAAAAATGTACCCAACTATAGAAATCTTAAACCATACAAATTGTTCTTATTAAAAATGACTAATACTGGAGGTGCTCAATATGCATATAGTGTGTTTTTCATTGATAATTTTTATTTAGTTCTTAAGAAACCTATTCTTAATGTTGGCATGTCATATTTTTCTGTTTCTATAATCAGAAACTGTGTAGTCTGTTATACCGTAAAAAAAATGGGAAGCTACTTTTGGAATGTAACATGCTAACATGACAGCATACTCTTAATAGTCATCTTAGTCTTCCTAATATAAGCATTCACATGTGGTTATTCGTAGGAAATATCCCTACTTATGAGATTTTTTTTGGTGTATTTTGTTAGAATTGGTGACACAATAAATCATTCTGCTTTTGGATTTGCCTTACTGCCTGCATTCTTCTTTGATTTTGGTATAGTAAAATCTGTTATTTAGTATTAAACTTAATAAAAGAGCATTTAAGAGAAATGACATTTCAAACATCCACAACACAACTGACTTTTGAAATCCTATGCTTAATAGTCTTTGTAATTCTAAAAGACATTTTGAAAACTTTAAAATATTAAATTATATGTTGTAATGTTGTTACATGAATTTTATAGTTATGTATATTTTATAGATCTCTATATCTTTGTAAGTTACTTGCTTGTATGCTATATAATTGCTTTCTCAGTTAACCATACTGTTTATGGAATTGTATATATTGATTTTACTGTTTTTATATTTTAAAAATAAAAGTTTAGGGAATTTTAAGGAAAAACTCACATTTTATTAAAAAGACAAGGGATATTATATAGGAATTTTAAGCTAACTTTTAATGGAAAGGATATACATATTTGAATGATGGAGCAATTACAATATGGTTAAAAATGTATGTCCCTGTTTTAAATTTTATAGTATATAAATATATGTGCTAATGAACCAGTGACTCTGCAGAGAGGAAGTCACTTAGACTAATTCATAATTTTGATACAACTATAGATCATATCTTATTTTACATATTACTTTTGACTTCCTGTTTAAGTTGTTATCAGTTAGGAGAGAATTGTGTACATTAGGCTATGTTTACTGCAGATTATGTAACATGCTTTTATCAGATTATAGTTTGTAGTGCTTGCGGATATAAAACATGTACCTTGATAAGCTGTAATCACTACCAGGTTGACCAGCAAGGACAAACATGAAATGCTTACAAAAAAGAAAGTACTTTAAAAAAAGAAATAGAAGGTAATGAGCATATATAAAACAAGCCAAGCAAGAGACGAGCAAAGAGAATCTGCAGAGTAGACATGGATGTATTAGTTTCTGATCATGAGAAGAAGCTCTTGTCATATCCTTCCATTTTTATTTTAAAGTTCTATAAACTACTGAGGAAAATTGATTTCTTGGATGTACTTACTAAAGAATAAATGCTTCATATTGGAGCCACTGTGCACTTAATCATTATTTATTCTGCCAGTCAGTCATTTGTACAGGGTGAGTGGCACTACCCTTGCTGTAGGCCAAGGCTCTGAGATATTCTAGATTTTTCTCACACTCTCTATTATCCACTCAGTCTCAGGTGTATTGGTTCTTGAATTTATCCATTGGTTCTTTAAATTTCTCTCGTTCACTGTTTTCAGTGCTTATGCCTTAGTTCAAACTCTTACCACTTGTCATGTGTACTCCCCCTCATCAACTCTGCCTCCTTCCCAATGCTGTTTCAACCCATTGATGTTGGAATGCCCTTTTGCAATATACATTACTTCCTGAATAAAATTCTTCCCTGATACCTCATATCTCTCAGAAAAGTTCAAGCTCTGACCTTAACACATAAAACCTAAAAGATCTGGTTTTCTTAAGCTCATCTCCCTATACTCAGCTCATTCCCCACATTCTTCCAGTCATTTTGAACTATCTAACAGCTTTTAAAATGGATTGTGAGGTTTCCAACCTCTGAGCTTTCATATCTATTCTGCTACTTTTATCTAAAATTATTTTCTGCACTTAGTGCATTAAATTAATTCATACTGATCTTCAAATACCTCCTTAAGAATAATGTCTTCTGAAAAGTTAAATCAGACAAACTCTTGAATCTGATATATTGGGATCCCATTGGCACCCTGGGTGTACCTTTACTGTAGAATTCATCACTTTCTACTGTAATCATAACTCTGCTTGTGTTTCTCTCACTAGACTGTAAACTTCTTGAAGGTAAGAACAATATCTTATTCAGCTTTGTGATCCTGGTGGGTGTCTAGCAGTGTCTGACATGGGGTAGGCGTTAAATCAATTATTAGTCGACTGGGTAAATGTGTGATTTATTGAGCAGAAATTGTCAGGGTTCTTGTTTTGGAGCACTTTTGCGTCGAAACACTTTAGTAGACTTCACGTAAATAGTATGAACATGCAATTTTGTGCAAAATTCACCTATGGAGGCAGTAAGTTACCCTAATAATGCACAGAATGCATGTTCTAGCTGGCCACTTGTCCACAAAGTCTCACTGCTTAGGGGCTACTATATTCACTCGCATTTCTTGGAACTCAGTCAACATCAGCTAATTAGGCTTCTAAGCATAATTAATTCCATCCATGAAAATGGTGTGCTCTTAGAGCCTTAAAGGAATCTTGGTCCACCCATGGATCAGAAAGATTTCTGGTTGTTCGACTGATAATAAAGTAAGCAGACCCTGTCCTGGAATGTTGCTGCTACTTCCTTTTTGAACCTTTCGTGCAGAGTGATGGCTGAAGTCTCTAAAGGACAAACTGCTGGGATTGTACTGATTTTACAGAACAGATTGTGTAAACTTTTTTGGCCTCCTTGCTAAGAAATGTTTGTTTAATAAATGTTTATGTGGCAGAACTTATTCTCAAATGTATGTCATTACAACCTAGAAATAAGGCATGGGGTAGCTAATTTCCACCTACCTCAAAGACTTTTTTGCAGAGAGGGCCATGGTTACCTACCACAAGGAACCTATTACTTGTGCGTGGCTTAATTGGCTTAAGTTAGTTCATAGCTGCCGTTCTCTGTCAGACACTGTAGTATGCATCACAGACCCAAAAATGGCATGGCATTTAGGCATATACAGTGCCGAAAGTAGTAAAGTTAAAGATTCAAATACCAGAAGTCCATAATTGATATAACATGGACGCAAACTAGGTATAGCAGAGCATTTAAGACCTGTAAATGTCATCCTAGGGGAGTAATAATAATTCACTATTCTGAAAACATATGATTTATTAAGGTATTATTGAAATGCAATGGAAGTATTTTAATATAAAATACTGAAATGGTAAAGGATTTTGGAGATTTGATTGTATAAATTGTGAAAACATACTAATGAATACACATTTTCAGATTTCTCTCTTTAATCTTATATAAGCTGATTTGTATAATTTTTGGATATCCAAGCAAAATAAAGCCATTTGGAAGGATTTGAAGAAGCAATTACCTATCCAGTGGACAAATTTTATTCAAGGAGAAAAAGAAAATCAAGTTTCTTGTTGCTTTTAACTTTCCCTTTTATCAAGTTAGGATGGGACTTCCAAGCCATGTCTAAATGAATTTAGTTATAAAGTGTGAAGATTCTCACCTTCGCAAATACATGTTGAATTTCCTGGGAATGTTTAATGATGATAAAGCCGATATGAAACAAATGACTGTGTTTCAAGGAAATTGTGTTTCTCTTATGAAAGTTGCATATTTAGTAGAAGAATTTTATCAAGGAACTTTTTAGAAAACGTGTTATAAATGAAAAGTTATTTTGAGGAAGCATTCAGATGACCATTTTATTAAGAAAAAATATGTACTTATATTAGTATTTTAACATAAACTATGTGGAATGAGCACAGGCTTTGAAATCACTGAATACTGACTTCAGACTGGAGCTCTTCTAAAAATTAGCTGTACGACTTTGGGAAGCTGTTGAGTCTCTACTTCAACTGCAGGTTGATGTGAGTATGGAATATATATGGATATAACAGAGATGTAGATATAGGTATAGTACTTACCACAGTCTAGCACATGCACGTGCACACACACACATACATGTATTCTAAATACTCTATTTCCTCTGTTTTCTTCAATTAATTAAAAGCTTCTCTCTCTTTTTTTTTTTTTTTCCTGATTATGCTGAATGGCAATTATAAGAGCTATTCTTTTAAAAACATATTTTTACCAGGTAGGAATGATTTGTATGCCACCACTTCCTCCTGAATTTAATAAGCCTCTCATTATTATTAATTCTCTTTCTTCAGCAGAGTCCACGAAAGATAATCA